TACAGGAAGAGGCTAAAATCAGCAAGCAAACAAAATACCTCCTGGTGTACATAATAAATGCGACATCCAGTAAGTACAACTCTGTGGTGGTGTTTTCTCATGACTAACCCTAAGATTACGGCCCTCTAAGAATGTCAGCGACCTACTGGATAATACAAACCGGCTGATCGAAACAAACACCACACGCACTTCGTTCCTACCCATGTTCCTACCCAACCACCCGAACAGATACATCCGAGGCTCCAGGGCGATCACCCGATACTCCATGTGCATCGACCACAAAGCTACAGTTCACCCGCGAGGGAAAGAAAGTGCTCCAGCTCCCTAGACAGTTTCCATAGAGAGTACGTCGACGTAGCTGACTGTGAAGCTACGGTAAACCCTTGGTCCGTGTACAGCGGACTACCCAGGGCCTGGCGACTGAGGCTGCCTGTGGTGAGACTACATCTACACTGGCTCAAGAGACACGGGGCTATCCCACAGAAGAGGGCGTTTCGCCCATGGAGCAGCTTGCCGTGTCACCAGTGCCACCCAGAGCTCCGGTTAAAAGTCGTCTCGGGGTGAGACGTCGAGATCGGTCCGCTTTGAACCGTGCGGGTGGCGAGGACCGTATTTGCATAAACTTGTCGTCTGAGTTTGAAGCTGTGAATATGTACCGTACGCCACGCAGGAATAAGCAGTGTACCTCGAACGGGACTCGGGTTCCTGTCAAAGCCAGACTGGGAGCCCCAGTGAAACTTTGTGAACCAAGTATGTCTCACCGATGTGTGAGACGAAGACTTGAGTTGAGAAGAAGACTGGACTTTACTTGAGAATTGTACAATGCAAGACAACTAATGTATGAAGATATTGTAACAAGTGCATATGACAGTTATTTGACTGACAACAAATGTACAACGATATTGTACCAACTGCGGCATGTAATAAAAAAAATTTATTGTCAACATTTAAACAGCAGTGTGATTCTGTTTGTTAGTGTTCGAATAAACATTGGGTCAAATGATTACAGCTCTCACACACACAAAGGAAAGATTTTATACATTCAGCAATACCATCAAAAATAGTGACTGTTCAACAGAGACACGTGTAGTAGATAGATACATGCAGCAGGTACAAATGGGAGGGGTCGAGACACCAAACGCAGCCTCAATGCACAACCCAGACAAGCACAGTAGTATTATGAATCACGGCATCTCCAAATAGGA